CCCTCCCCCCTCCCCCCTCCCCCACCCTAAGTTTCGCCAGGTTTCCTTGACATTTCACCGGCACCTCAACCATACCCCTGGGTCTAAACACACAACACGGTGACTACGTTAGGGCTTAAAACCACACCTCTCAGCCCGGAGTTTGCGCACTAACCGCTGGGCTACCAGTCTCCCACATGTATTTTTGAAATTACAGGAAAATGGTCAAGCAACGGTGAGAATCTTACTTGGACATTGCCTGGTGTTGCACACTCGCACTTGTTCTCCAGACCCCTCACACGGTCTTCCTCCATGTTCTGGCCTGGGGCTATCACATTTTCGCTCTCTTGTTTGTTGTCCAGATCCACATGTTTTGGTACAAGAGCCCCAGTCCTTCCAGGGACTCCAGCCTCCGTGAACTGGGGAACAAAAAAGGGAAAATAACTTCAAGGTGAGAGGCATGAATTTGTTGAAATTGTTCACCTAGATTGCTTTTGAATCAATATGTATAGAGCAATTTGATTTCTTTTACCTGCACAAATTTTTTCCTGGCATGATTTGATTTGCCTTCCCAAGCCGACGCAATCCTCCCCACCAAACGCTGGGGGCGGATTGGTACACGAACGTTCCCTTTCTTGTGTTCCAGTGCCACAAGTCTTTGAACAGGATGTCCACTCCTTCCACTCACTCCACTGACCATGCACTGTCAAAAAGAAACATTATGTCTGATGTTCTGAACTTGATAGAAGTTTTTATTACTAGAAATGAGTTTGTGACTCCATTCGTTCAAGTGGATCTTACTCGATGAATCCATTAAAATAACAAACTAACCTGGGCATGGTATTGTTTGACATGTCTTGGTTTCCCGACTGATACCATCACAATCTTTCCCACCAAATTCTGGGCGCGGTTCTGTGCACGAGCGTTCACGTTCTTGAGTTCCGTTACCACATGAAGCTGAACATAGCGTCCAGCCCTTCCATTCACTCCATCCACCGTCAACTGTGCAAGAAATTTGATAAAACCACCATTAATCCGGAAAGCCCTTCATGAAAATTAAAACTCTCGACAGAAACCGACGTTGGTTTCCAAATCCTGGAAGGAAAGGTTTTATTATTTCGCTGAAGAACGGATCACACGCTAACCTGGACAAATTCTTTCGCTACATTCCCGTGTTTCATCTGCTGATCCCTCACAACCCTTGCCTCCGTGAGCAGGTGCTGGTTCTGTACAAGTTCGAGAGCGTTTCTTGAGTCCAATTCCACATGTCCTGGAACAGATAGTCCAGTCCGTCCAGCGGCTCCACTGACCGTCCACTAGAATGGTAGTAGATAAAAATTAAAACTTGATCTCAATTTCTTTGCTTATTTACCTCTTGAAAGTCAGTAACTCAGCAACTCCATACCTTCCCCTCCCTGAGCCAAAAGCAGTCGAGTGATAACAAGTTAAGGTTAAGGTTGTGTTAGGGGAGGGGTAGGTATGTGGTGCCTTAGATACTGACATTGATCCTTATCTTTGTGAGGAAAAATAGCTGACAAAGTTATCAGTTGACTTACAACAGGTGTCTTCAAAAAAAAGGAAATGGTAGTGTAGTGCAGTGTTGAACTACTTGCAGAAGTCATAGCCAAGGTAACCGAGCAGCAGAATTAGATTTAGCTGAAGAAGAAATAGCTCACCTGGACACACATTCTGATTGCAGGTTTGTGTCTGTTGTCGTTCTCCAATACAGTTTCTGCCACCAAAAGCAGGTGATGGATTGGTGCAACTTCGTGTTCTCCTCTGTTCTCCGCCACCACAGGATTTTGTACAAGGACCCCACTCTCTCCAATCACTCCAACTACCATCAACTGTTAAGGAAACACTATCATGTTAAGACTCTATGTGCATAGGATCAGTAACAACTAGGATAGTAACAGAAAGCTCCTTCTCTCTTGATTAAAATCAATTACCATGTCAAAAGTGATTTTAGGGAAATTGATGAGGCACCTAAAAAACTAACATTCGTTAAGAGAAGTTTTGGTGCTAAATTTCCATATCTAAGAATTCCTTTAGCGAAAAACAAATTTTTCCACCTTCTCAACTCACTCACAAGGCTGGGTTGTGCTTTTTTAAAATTACTTATTTACTTAAAAGTATTTTTTTTGCCAGTTCAGCTCAACCGTAAAACTATTTAACAGCTTAACGTTTTTAATAGAACATGCGGACGAGCCTAATTAATGGTCAGGTTCCCTTCCACTGATAACTCGAGCTTCACTCATATTAGATAGCCGAAGGACCGATGAAATTCACTGATGTGCGTTTGCATTTACCCAAGGAAGTCTCTTAAGACTATTTAAAGAAGGTTGAATTGTTTAGAGCATGATTCGTTCTAATCAGGATTACCGATGTTGCCCTACATTTATCTTGAAAGATTTGATATAGTGGACGCGACAAAAAGACTTTTCTTGAGGTTTAGTCTTGAGCCTCCTGTAATCGATTAACGATTGATGTGAAGGAATAATGAATTTTAGAGGAATCGCTGCTCTTACTTGGACAGGGCTGCGTATTGCATTCACGAGTTCGTTCACTTTCTCCGCTGCAATTTTTTCCACCATGTGCTGGAGGAGGATTTATGCACGTGCGAGAGCTGTTCTGTGTTCCACCGCCACAAGATTTAGAACAAGTGCCCCATTGATTCCACTCGCTCCATCTACCGTCGACTAGAAATTACAAAGATTCATTAAAGTAAAGGAATCACAAATTTTCTTCCTGGAGCCAGTCAAACAATAAATAGAGAATAATACATGGGCGCGCGTAGATATGGAATTTCTCTTCGAGTTGAACACGAGAAGAGAAATTTCAAATCTACAAGCAACCATGTATTATTTTGTTTATCATATAAACACAATAGCCCTTTATTGGGAAGAAAAGCCGACTTCATTAATGAATGAAAATAAATGAATCGGCAATCCTCGAATAATAATCGTATAGTGCGTTAGCGCTGACTCTTTAGATGGAAAAATGCGTTGAATCATGATTACAAAAACAACAATGGTCGTAATTTTCAATTTACAAAATTCTCATTTATTAAATTTGTCCTTACCGACAGAAGAAGTCTTTCACGTAAACGGCCAAAATCGGCTAGTAGCAAATCTTCCAGTTGTCGATTTTCGTTCTTAGACGAGAGAAATGCTAACACCGAAGCCACTGAATACGCGACTTTCGGTTTTTCTTTTAGTACATTGATTTTCTTCCCTTTCTAGTAAAGTTTGAACCTCATTGTCTGCCAGCGATACGGATTTTTTGGTGTTTTAGCCGCCGTAATTGGAGAAAACTCCGACAAACAACTTGCATTGAGAATCGTGAAGGCTTTGCCGTTCATTCATCAACCAGACCGAGTGGCGCCAAAGGCGAGTGACGTATAAGCGGCTGATGGGCTATATCAACACACGTGAAAAAATACGATATTTTTTTTTACGTGTGTTGTTACGGCTTTTCTCAGGGCCAGAAATCCTTGTATAACACCGCAGTTTATGTGATAATTAATGTTATTATCTTACTTGGACAGGGCTGCGTGTTACATTCACGTGACCGTTCACTTTCTCCGCTGCATTCTTTACCGCCATGTGCCGGGGGAGGATTTGTGCACGTGCGAGAGCTGGTTTGTGACCCACCGCCACAAGATTTCGAACACCTGCCCCATTGATTCCAGACAGTCCACCCACCGTCCACTAGAGATTAAAAAGATCATCAAATTTTGAACCTGGTCATACTTCCTTTTTGGTTTGACGATTTCAAACAGGTGTATGTTTTATATCATGACTCTAATCATCATTATGAAACCATAGTTAACGGCCGATGAAACAGAGAGAAATGAAATTTTCTTTATGCGGGACTCTTAAGTGTTTTATGAGGTGGTTTCCAATTTGCGGTAAATGGATGAAAAACTTCTCCAAGATGCGCTGCTGCCAAATATAATTTAAACTCCACTTCCAAGTGAGGTTGCTTAAATACCGTTCGGGCTGTTTTAGACTTAAAAGGATTTGTATCGTTGTTATAAGATAATTTTTAAATTCTTCATTTGAAATATGTGTTAATCTTGGACATTCTTAGCCATTCTCGTATCTTTGATCTGTTCCTACTTTCTTGAAGTCTCTCTGTAACAACAAGGTCTCTTAAATATTTCAATGTTTCCTTCCGTTAGAGAAATTTTCCGCTGGTTGTCGGAATAAACTTGGTATTGCCTCGGTTTTGCATTTTTCGATATGTAAATTGATCCAGAAACCTACTACCACGTCCTTAATCAATCAGATTCAAAACTGAAAGAACTGGTAGTCATTCGCCTTTTCTCGCGCTTCAGGCAGTTTATTTGTTACCAGGTTTTGATTGTCTCCTTGTGATTCCATCCTCTGCCATGATTGGCTGTTGTGAGTACTTAGGTTTTGCGATACTTAATCGAAATGTATAAACTGTCTTTATAACGTAACTCCTTTGACCTTAGTCAATTTTGTACCTGGACAGTTATTTGTGCTGCAGTTGCGCGTCTCCGTGCTGGACCCTGGACACTGCTTTCCTCCGTGTGCTGGTGGTGGATTATCGCAGTCTCGAAAGCGTGATTGAATTCCGGTTCCACATGATCTCGAGCAAACACCCCAGTCACTCCATTCGCCCCATTTTCCATCCACTATAAAGAAAATTAGATGAAATTTCTTCTATTAAACGGTTTTTGTCGGAGTCATCGCAAGTTCTATCGAGAAACACTTGACAGAGAAAATTTTTTTATTTAGTGTTGAAAATAATCCAAGACTCTTTTGGTCTTGCTTTGCCACGCTTTGTGATTTGTCCAGGAAGGTCGTGCCATCATCTCAATCACTCATATTCAAAACTTAACTCAATTTTAATTCCAGCGCCTCGGTCTGTTTGCTTAATTTTTTCTCCGAGTTCTCATTGGCTACTGTTTATTTCCTTTGTCCTGATTGGCTGTTATGATAACCCTCGATTTGATTTTTGGATTCTCAGTAGAAAAGCGTCATATTGTTTTTTGAAACACTGGAACTTTCACTCTTCACATAGCGACAATCTGTTGCCATTTTTCTGATAGGTAGTTGTTTTGAAAATTGCTGAGGATATACGCTGTTTAACTTTTATTACTTAAGATTTACTAAGAGTAATATTACAACATTTTTAAAACATGTAATAGGAAGAAAGAAAAATTGTAGTCATGGTTTACTGTTCAATTAAACAGCAAATTCTTGGAGCTAAAACAATATGAAATGCATGACAAACAGTACAGAGAATTGAAGTTTTGATATAGGAAGTCAAAGGCTTAAACGTTTCGCAAAAATGTGTAAACGGATATTCTACATACCTGGACACTCTCCAGCTTTGCATGCTTCTGTCTCCTCCCCAGCTCCCTCACACTCCAATCCACCGTTGGCCGGGGGAGGGTTGGTGCAAGTTCTAATACGTTTCTTGATTCCGCCATCACCACAGGTAAGACTACAGGAACCCCAGTCACTCCACTCAGTCCAAGATCCGTTTACTGTGGTAGATTTCCAGATGAGATATCAGTGAACCATGAACCAAATCAAATGAGCAGGATCTAAGTTCGTTTTAATCCTATCCTCTGATATATTCGTGCAGGGGTGCTTCATGATTTCACTTCTGGTATTTCGAAGTCTTAGCTAAAGATAACTTTTGGGCTTCTTTTGATTTAGCAGTCATTTTCTCTTCTCCATTCCTAGTTAATTTTGTATTCCCATTCTGTTTTCTTTTTATCAACAAACTAATCAGAGTCTACTCACGAGAAATCAAACTCTTGCGAATTTGATCGAAAATCGTTTTCCCCTGCTTTTCTGTCATATATTCACTTTAATTTTGCACTTAATAACACGAACAATGTTCCACTGTCACCCATATTAAACCGCTACATCGTGATTTTAAATCAATAAAAACGGACGATAGAAATAAAATAAAAAAACGTTTCGTTTTGTAAGAATCGAGAGTCTTTCTCAAAGATCGAAACCGGAACTTTCGATCCGGTGTCCAGTGCAGTCTAGTCCAGTCCAGATATATTTCATGATCTCTACGTCTCCCACTATTCTGGTTGTTTCCGGAAGAGAAGCTTAATAAACATCAACTATTTGGCACTTTACCTGGACAACCTTGCGTATTGCATCTCTGAACATCGTATCCTTTGCCAGAGCAATCTCGGCCGCCATTTTTGGGCGGTGGATTTATACAGTAACGTCGACGTCCCTGGATCCCTCCTCCACAAGAAGCAGAACAGTCACTCCATTCTGCCCAGGCAGACCAGTTACCATGAACTGAAACGCAAATGATTCGAAGAGCGTTATCGATATCATAAAAATTAATAACCCGATTTCTCGATGCAACGCTTCTGATTATATTAAGTTATATCCCTAATGATAACCAGAAGTAACTCAGAGAAATATTTCCTCCCTCATTGGAAGGGTAAGTGCTACATAATTAGGGATCTCTGTCGAATTGGTGATTTAAAATGCCTTAAGATGCACTTTTTTTCAGTAGCCGTGAGATCTAAGCAGAATAAGGAAATGCGATGATATTTTAAGATTGTTATCATTGTTCCGCGGAGAAAGTAATGCCGATGAACTGATCCACCACAAATCGTATAATTTGATTGTTGTTTATTGAGACGATACTGCAATTATTCGATTTCTGTGGCGGGCCGCTGGCTACAGGTTAGCTTAAAGGCTTGTTTCGGGTTAGCAAATTACACTAGACCTTTCCTTTTGAAATTGATTTTCCAGACTGAAATGTGATGTAAAGTACAAAGCTTAACTGTCAATCAATGTTCTAAATCACGTGATTCTCGTTCATTTTTAACGAAACAATCATATGGACCAATGGGGGAGATAACAGTCTATTAGCTTTGGGAGCACAATTCCCTTTAACCCTTTAACTCCCAGATCAAATTTGTAATTCTCTTTACCGTCAACCATACAATTCTTTTAATGTTAGCTCAGAGAATTTAGTATTAGATCAAATAATTATTCCCAAATTGATATTGTTCTTTATTCTCATCACTTATCCTGTTGACATTGTATTTATATCGTAAGGAGAAATTCTTTCTTGGTCACTCATGAGAATAAAGGATGCGATCACTAACTTAAGTAGCTCTTGATTGTTTAACAGATTCTCCGAGTAGAAAAAAGTGAGGGGAATATGCATACCATTGTTAAAGTGTAAAGGGTCAAATAAAAGAATCTCGAGAAGCAAGCAACTTGGGGTTTATCATCTCGCCGGCGTTCATGTTGTAAAGTTTAGCAATGGGCTTTATGTCAATAAAAAAGATATAAGCAATCTTACCTGGCTGTAGTTGTTTACATGTTTGAGTAGCAACCTTTACACTGTCTCTTGCCAATTGATCAAAATTTTCCGCCCTGAACAAATTCTCATCCTTGTAACCCACCAACTCTAATAACTCGGTAATATCGATAGCGCTCCCAACACCGACAGCAAAAATGGTCACGTTCATGTCCAAAAGCGGCCGTACAGCCTCGTCCAGCGGCGTACTATCGTTCGTCTCAGTTTGTTGTCCGTCTGTCAAAATGACCATCACCTTGGTGACGTTAGGACGCGCTCCACCCTCGGCGGTGAAGACTTTTTCGGCAGCAAGTTTAAGCGCTAAGTCGATGCGTGTTCTTTTTCGTTGATGTCGCACTTCGCCCAATGCAGCGGTGAAATCGTTAACGTTGGTATATTCCCCGAATTTGATGTCGACTTGAGCGCTCTCGCTGTATGAGATAACGGCGATTTGTGATTGGTCGGGACCCATCTTGAAGGTCGAGGCGACTTCTTCAACGAATAGTTTCTCTCTTTTAAAGTTTCGTCTGGAGATGCTCCCCGAAGAGTCCACCACAAATACGATGTCTGATTTCTGAGTACATTGTTCTGATGGAGGAGTATATAGATCAAATTAATTCATTTTCATTGATGCGTTCTTAGAAGGAATTGTAATCAATCAAGAGAAGCAACGCCTTGTGGTTGGGTTCGGTTATACACTCGCAATCGTCTTTTCCAGGTGCTGAGTTAGTAAACGGGTGAGTCAGTGATCGTAGCGTGGATCGAAATAACTTTTAGGGAGAGTTTGCTTCCCAAATACTAACGGACCACCTGCAAAAGGGTGGGCTATGAAAGTTTTAATTCCTGGTCACTGCATCATAGTCTTGCTGACAAGAATGTGAAATGCAGCGTTGAAATGCGAGTGTTCAAATGAAGGCAGTCGAGCGGAGGTGCCCGTTTGCGATTATGAGATTATGTGTCAGCTACCACTTGATATGTTTCAGTTGAAAGTCTTCTCAAATTCATCTTTCTTAATTTCCAACCCAAAAAGAACATGGCACAAAAAGAAAGTATCGAATTAGTTTTTCAGACAATTTTTATCATCTTATGGAAAAAGTGATAGTGAATTTGCTCCTGTTCATAACTTTTGAATGATTTGCAGCATGTCATACCGCATGCAACAAGCTATTTACAATTTCTGTGGTCTGTCATTCCTTTCAATGTCAAAACAAGATTTTCTTGACAGAACACACCAGCTGGCTAACAAAAACGTTGTAGCATTTCAAAATACAGGTTGCTTCACTGCATGCAGGCATAATATAGTTGACAAAGTAGTTTTTATTCGCAGTCACAATTCTGGAAAAAAATTTAGATTTGCTGTAATCTACGGATTCCGTGCAAAATGTTGCCAAAGTGAGTTTGTAAGAATAGGAAAAAAGGTCTTGTGACAGTATTCCAGGAGAGATGACTTAAAGGTGTCTGTCTTAGAGCGAATATACTTTGATATTATGATATAGTTGTAATCACGTGTTAATTGAAAGTTAAGACTTCACCCAGGAAGTGGCTTTCAAAGGGCTTTTCAAATACATTTCATGGGGTAATATTGGAAGCTTTCTAATGTTTTGAGCATTTGAAAGGAAGACTTGTATTGATGCTCAAAATTTTCCGTTTAAAATTGCCTCGGCCTTAGAAGGTCAGGGCAAACCGCAAAACCGCACTAGTTTTAATAGCATTTAAAAGATGCTTGTGTGAAGTATACTTTACTCGATATTGTAATGCAGTCCTCCAAGCATGGCCGGCGGAATGTTAATTTTAGTCATAGGAAATTTTTGACCCTGAAAGAACGTGACAAGATTTAATTGTCGCTTTGCATGTCCGGTTCCAACATAAATACACAAACGAAAAGCGATATAATCGCGGCAAGACAGCCCCTCTTTCTTTGTAGTATTTGATTCTTTTTGCCAAAAAACGCAAACTCTGATCCGGTTTATGAGGCTTAAAGTGCTCCGCCAGATTCCTGTCGAGTGGCCTCTACCGCTATCAAATCAGTACTAATTGTCTTAATTCGCAATGTTTACAAGATGAAAAAATAAAAAAAGTGACTGGCATAGTTAGCTTCAATAATCGCTTCCTTTCACACAGCAGCTATCAACATTTTTAGGGTGCATCAAACTTGAACTTTTCCTGAGAAAATCCAGTTTCGAAATTAAAGGGAAATGTTCATGGGATATGCTATATTTAGCAAGACCTTTCAAGACGATTAGCTTAAAAAGCTTATCTTCAAGGAAATAAAGCCTGCATTAAGGAATTTCAGCCAAGTCATGGAGAATGAAAACGAGAATTTTCTTTCTTTTTGTTAGTTATTCGTGGAACTTAAAATATACATAGTTTTAGGTGTCCGTTCATTTTCGCTAATTTGTCCTCGGAAAACGAAAAGAATTTTTACAGCCAAAGATACGTGTTCCTCGGCAATCATGAGCAATCAATTAGGCAGCATGGTACCTACATGGGGGTACTACGAGTTTGGTAAACATTGGCGAGATATCGGAATATCACAGTGTTCCTAAGATCTTATCGTAAAAAACAAAATACTAAAAGCAATATGGCTGAGAAGCTTTCGGGTCTGGCTAGGGCTCAATGACTTCTAATTATTGATTAAATCATTTGTCTGAAATTTTTTTAGAGACTTTGGCCTGTTGATCGTTCCTTTGTTGGTAGAAATTTTGCTTGAATCTCGTCTTCAAATAGTCTTAACTGGAATTTTTAATCGACGAAGGTAAATCAATTTCTTAAGGATAAGATTAGAATTGAAAAGTTTGATACTTGATTCTGGCGACAATGGTATCCAGTCAATATATTAAGGATGTATGGCAAATCATTAAAAGGTTTTTTGATAGAACACGACTTCAGAACATGCAGATTTACCCACAGGATATAAAAAGACGTGTTGAAAACGAAACTTTTCCCTATATAAACAATTCTCCAAGCAAAAAAAAAAAAACATTCAAAAGGGATGCAAGACTAATTACCTAGAACAAAATGAGCAATCTTGAATTATACTGATTTCAAATTTCGGCGAAGTTTTTCAGTTCTTTCTTCAGTTTTCCGCTTAAGTTAAGTCTTACTCGGAGAGCTAACTTTCGTAAAATTTTCCAAATAGCAAATTAAAAACGCTCCAATTTCAGAAGAAATCGGCTTTTTGTCGAAACAACAATGTGTTTACTTACTTCTTTCGCCTGACTGAGAATCCACCGTAACAAGAATCAGGGCAAAAATCACGAAAAACTCCGCGTACAAAGTCGCCATGTTCCTTAATTCAGCAGTCGCTTTGACTTCAATGAATCCACTAACTCTGTAACGTCGAAACGCTCAGCTGAATTTATAACGAGAGAGGCGTAATTCGTGTAAATACCTCCGCATCAGTCGTCACCTCGAGGAGTTCAAGGATGGATTAAACTATGCGCCACTTGTTTACAATCATTACATATAGAAATCTGGGCAGGACTCTGACGAAAATAAACAGCTTCCGCGTGGGGTGTCACTCACAGTTTATGATTGGTTTCCTGCGCTAGTGTCACGCATCCTCGCGCAACGGGCTGTTGTCAAATATTTTATGACCAGTCACGTATAAATGAGCAGTATTTGAATTTTCGCAACACAATTTACATAATAATGATGCCCTCTAATCTCATTTATCAGAACCGTCGCAAGTTGTTATGGTATTTTGGTTGTTCTTAAGACAAGATCAGGATTTTTGAAATTTCCTTTGAATTTGCAACACCTTAATTTTAGAAAAGAAGCTGTGTTGTATAAATTCTCGTCGTTTCCGTCGTTTCAGCCATTTTGGCCCATTTTGTGGTCACCAATTCTCTCGTGATTGCAGAATTGTTTGTTTAAATAATTACCACACCTTTCTAACGTAAAAACACCCACCCAGGCTGACCATTTTTCCACATAGCCGTTGTATAGTCTCTTCCACTCTCTTGTAAGCCGTGGACCGCGGAAGCAAACCGACTTCACGTTTGTGTAACTTTCTTGGTGTTCTGAAATTACAGAACCTCTGTGCCATAGATTGGTTTTGCGCAAGCCAGCTTTGATTTAATTTAATCACAAGAACTGTCACTGTGATTTCCCATGGGGTTCAAAGCTTACGTTATCTGCAACTAAGAGATCTTCAAACATTTTCCGAGATTCATCGACTTTAATAGATATTTTTGATAAGGATGATTTCACTGCCAAATGACATTTCACAAAGTGACGAAATTGCCCGAAGGAACATCAGAAGTGAACTTTTGAGTAATGAGAAATTTAGCTGTTTACCTGCAACACGCAAATTATCAGACCTGAATCTTCTAGGTGAGAGTTATCTCAAAATATTTGTCGGAATGGAAAGAAAAACATCAGCGTGGGGCGAAAAGACCAGAAATGAAAGAAGATAGGCAAGGATTGTTAAGGTTGAGACGAATTACAAAACAAATCACGACTGAATATTTCGGTCAGGTTTTTAACAGGCCGCCGTAAGATTGCTAATGTATACAATTACAAAAACGTGCTTTTTATTCAACAGTTGTAAGACCGATTGTTCCTAACGAAAAAAACTTAATGAGCAGTTCCTTTGTCTTCTTTACTGTATAACATAATAAGCGAGTATCTATAAAAGATAATGTCAGACAAGGTTAATAGAAGGTCTATCAGTTGCCGTGTGGAAGGTTTCAAAAAGGTTGAAAGATCGCTTTGATTTAGAGCGAATTTGGCTTTTCTTAACGAAAAAATCAAGGCTGTGGTTTTTAGAGAGAATCAAAAGCAGGATAAGATGTTCAGGTAAGGAGGAGGAAGTGTATCTGTGTGTGTTCTTTTTAATTCCAAGAAGGCAACGGTTGTTGCCCACGCGACTTGCTGGTTGAGTGAAAATTACCGCTGATAATTTTGATGAGGGGGAGGA